CGGAAGCGCTGGCCGGGGGCGCAGGGTCTCGGGGCTGCCCGGCAAACCGTGACGCTGGTAGCATTCGGGCAGCCCTTTTCGCGTGGCTGGGAGTGGGAGGGAGGAGGGGGCGGAGTTGGGGCGGGGCTGGGGAGGGCTGGGGGTGGGAAATGGGCAGGGCCAGGGCTCCGTGGAGGGCCCTCTTTTTTTATTTGTTAAATATGGTAACCCTAAACAATAATGTACATTTTAAAATAACTTAAATCTCTGTCCTAGAGCTGTAAGGATAGAAAGCACAGACATGAGTGGAGAATTTGGCCATTTGTTCTCCAGAATGCAGCATCACTTGTTACCTTTTTGTGATTGTGTACATGGGTTTTTTGTTTTTGTTTTTTGGTAGGGTAAACCTGGAAAAGATGGTACCCCCGGTCCACATGGCTTTCTGGTAATGAAGACACCTTTTAATTGTTCTGTTATATTAATAAGAGCTGTGTAAGTGTGACAGGACTGTATCTCTGTGTATATATAGCTCTTCTCTACTTCGATTTGCACTTGAAATATACATCTGAATACATTTTGAAACTGTATTCCTATACATCAAGCTTTGGGCCAGAGATCCAGGCACAGAGGGGATGCTTTGCATGCAGTCTTCCCTGCTTTCATGCAGACAGGGGGACCGGACCGGCTGCCTCTGTAGCATTCTTTCCCCTCCAGACCTTACACAGGCCTGGGCAGTCTCTAGGGAGGAGTGGCTGGGCTGGAGAGATTCACATTGTCCCCCATCTAGCTCTGTTAAAATGAGTCAGAAAAGAAAATATAGCTGATAATGTGTTATTTTATCCACTTCAAACTCTTGGGAGTCGTGGGGGCAACCGCAATCAGAGATGTCCAAATAGCAAAGCTTCAAATGGGCTACAGTTCACTGAAGGGAGGCCCTGAGGTGGCTATAGTCAGTATGGGATAGAGGGCCTCCATGCAGATGTACTTGTCCTCCTGAAGATGTCCCTTGATCTGCCAGATTTGAAGGTTGGGTTTATAGGCATGTAAACCCAATAGGATGATGTGGGGAGATCTCCGTACAGGAATTCTCACAGGGACTTCCTCCCCCGAGACACTCTCACTCTTCTTTCCATCAGTAGGAATGATCTAAGCTTTTAATGTTGGATTTTATGTATGAAATAGGTAGAGGACTAACCCTTAATAATAATTCTGTGCTCTCATCTACAGGGAGAGAAGGGTGAACGCGGCTACCCAGGATCACCTGGCGTAGCAGGCACTAAGGTAATTATGTAATATCCTTGTTATTTTGGGGTTGGGTTTTCTGATTTGTTTATTGGATTTTGACTCATATATCACTAGACATACAGTGTTCCTCATAAGTGAAATCATTTAATAAACACCATAAACAGCAATCCACTCAGCTCTACTTAATATGAAGTTCAGCCAAGAGGTCTGTCTGATTAACATAGGCTGTGAAGGCTTCTGAGTATGTTGTTTTTAATGTATCTAACTGATGGCCTATTTCTGTTTTCTCATGCAGGGGAGGAAAGGAGACATTGGCCCACCAGGATTTCCTGGTCCCGTAAGTGCAAATTGTGCTTAGATTAACATGGTAATGTCATTTTTTTTTTAATGTTCACATAAAAGTAATGCCATTTTGACTGAAGGATGCCATAGTGAAATCCCCCTGGTGCCATGAGTAAAGCACTGCTGTGTCAAAATATGGAGTCAGTGGGGCTCTCCCCCCGTGTGCAGAGCTCATTGCAAGAATGGGCCCTAAGAAGCATGCACCTCATTCATTTCAGCTGGAGAGATAATTGTCATGAAACAGTCATGAAAGTTCACAATAGTTAAATTTCCGAAGTGATTAATTCCAAAATTAATTAATTCCGAAATTAATCAGGTCTAGAACAATTGCTGCTAGTTTTTAAATACCAAAAGACTTTGTAAACTAGAAGCAAAATCATCTCATTGATGCATGCATGCGGTTTCTGACTTTCCTGGAAGCCCGTGTACATGTCTGAGGGCAGCCTTTGACCCCAGTTGCTTACACTCAGTCCTTTTTTTAAAACATTAACCTGTTTGTAGCATCTGGCTTAGCAAGAGCTTTGTACAAAATAAATAAATTAGTAAATGAAAAATATTTGTGAGCTTCAAGCTCAGTCTTTGACATTTCTTTAATTTCAGGGCTAACATTCATGTTATGTTGTTTGATTTATATGTGCCTCACTATACTGCGTGTGGTTAGGCAATGGTGATCACTATTATCTGGCCACTGTCAAATGAATGAAATACATACAGTGGTTTGAAAGGTGGCTGATGGTCAACTTGGTTTATTCACCAGGAAAATAATCCACAAAGGAGCAATAACTTCTTGTTCTCTCTAAGTTCAAGTTTTGCTCATGCACATGTTTCATGCAAACTTGGTAGCACTGTAGTATTATCATTTATGGAAACATCCATCCTTTATGTACATGTAATACACTGGCTTAATGTTTGTGAATGTCTCCAGCTTGCCCCAGTGACCATACTCACAGGTGAGAGATTTCTCCTTCAGTGCAAGTAATGCTGAAAGTCCCAGGACTGTCTGCATATATGTGGCCATAGCTCATTACACATATATATAGAACCTAACTTCAAATACGGTGGCTTGTGAACAATTATTCTGGAATTAGCAATGAGTAAATACAAAGTCTTGTGATGTCATAAGGTCAAAAAGAATGGCCTACATCCCAATATTTCTCCCAACAGAACAGCCAGTCTAGGAATAATCAGTATTGATTTAGCTGCTGTTTAGCGTAACACAGCCTCTCCAGACCCCATGTCTTGCAAGTAAACTGAAGGATCCTGATAAATACAGGAACCTTCCTCGGCCTACGTGACTTGGGGTTTGAGAGTTAATGGAAGAAATCAGGTGTATCTGAAAGCAAATTACTCATGTCAAGCCACTCGTTATGTGAGACTGCCTTTCTCTTCATTGTTACTATTCTTTCTCTCTCTCTCTCGTCTCTTTTAAGACAAAGTATTATGATGAGGTGGCTGGTGAAAAAGGAGATGAAGGATATCCAGGACCCCCAGGACTTAAAGGTCAACCTGGCATACCTGGTGAGAGAGCTCTGAAAACTATAAACATAATAGAAAAAGAAATCTATGCCAAGGCTTGATCATGCACAGCACAGGGAGGAAGAGTTGTCACATGGAACCTGCACAGTGTCACTCACGAGAGTGACACTGTGCAGCCATCAAATTCCTGCCATCAAGTAGTAGAAGTGAGACCGAAGAGGCTCATAGCTAAGTGCCTGACTTGTATTCTGAGCATCACAGTGAAGGCCATATTCAGACTATGGGAGAAGGGACACAAGGACCCTGACACTTACTTCTGTTCTTTTCACCCTTACTTGTGTGCCCCTGCTCACACTCTCACTGGAACACATCATCATCAACTCATCTTTGCCACACACCAGGCAAGGAATTGAAAGATGAAGGCCATAATCAGTCCCTAGGAAAGAGCATTTATTTCACACTAATTTTCATTATCTTTTTCCCCTTTCATGCATGCCATTCGGAAATGGTAAAGGCATCAACATGGGTTTTAACTGTTTGGTTTTTTTAATTTGGTAATGCTATAAAATGAAAACATACTGTCAAAAATCAAAAACAAACCCTGATCAGTTTGTCATTCAGGACACATCACAGTGTAGTGAAGGGTTTGTGTGTTAAACTCTGACACAGTAGATGCAATTTGTTTGCCTCGTATCCATCCTCACCAACCCAGACTTTATTCTTTAGAGCCCCAATTCTGTAAACCTTTATATACACAAGTGGTCTCATAGAGTTCAATGGGGGCTACTCTCCTGTATAAAGTTATTCATGTTACTGAAGTCAGTGGGAATTGAGGGCACCCAATACCTTGCAGGGGTGCTCAACACTCGGCCTATTGTAATGGTTTGATCCCATGACTGTTGTGCACATAAAGCTCTCATTGGATGTCAGCTGCAGTTCTTTGTGTAACAATTGCAGGACTGGATAAATGACAAATCCCTATTAGGCAAAATCAGATTAAAACTCACAGTTCAAAATATGTGTAACATTTTGGTTTTTAAGTCAAAAGTGCTGTTCAGCCTTATTATACAATCCAGCATGTAGTTAAAAACACAACACAGGTATTTGAAGTGAAAATCCAATATATACAGTGGTTTAATTCAGATTTTTAATTTATTGCTTTTGCAGGGCCAAGAGGTCCCCTAGGTGTGACAGGAAGACCAGGTATGTGTCATGAACCAACAGCACACTAAAAAGCCTAATGCAGTATTCGTTTTGCTTATTTTACTTACTTAGTATTATGAAGGCAGTGATCATTTCTCATGTTTGAAAATGGACATCTCTAGGGGTATGTCTACACTGGTGTGCATACCTGAGTACAGTAACTCCTTGCAATGATGATTGTGAAGCTTGGTTGAGGTGGTGAAGTCAGAGCATGGAAGAGGGTGGGATATTTCTAAATATCTGCTAAATAATGAACTAGCATTCCGCTGAGCCCTCAAGGGTTAATACGTTGTTGTTAATGTAGCCTCACACTCTACAAGGTAGCACAAATGGAGGGAGGGGAGACAGCATGGCAGACAGAGACAGAGACACACACACCGTGTGTGTGTGTGTGTGTGTGTGTGTGAGAGAGAGAGAGAGAGAGAGAGAGATGCGCATTGCCCCTTTAAGTATGCTGACCCCAGTCTAGGTACATTGCCTTTTTAAGTAGATCAGCAAGTTGAGACAGCAGCTGCTGCCAGGAAGTTCCCTCCATCCTGAGCCCTGTTGTGTCCCCCACTGCTCTATAGAGATGGGGTAAGCGGGGGGCAGGAGCAGGGGGGAGGGGGACACCCTGACATTAGCCCCCCTCAATCCCCCCCGTGAACAGCAAGCAGAAAGCTCCCAGGAGCAGCTCCAAGGCAGCGGGCAGGAGCAGCACATGGTAGTGTGGGGAGGGACAGCTGAACTGCCGGCAATTGGTAGCCTACTGGGTGGTTGCCGCACAGGGAACTTAGGGGAGTGGGGAGCTGATAGGGGGGCTACCGGTCAACCCTGGTTCCAAGCCCCCACCAGCTAGCTGCAATAGGCTGCTCTTTCTGCAAGCAGTGGACAAAGCAGGTGTCTGCCAAACAACATTATAAGGGAGCATTGCACAACTTTAAATGAGCATGTTCCCTAATTGATCAGCAACATAACAACGAAGCAACGTTAACCGGGATGACTTTAAGTGAGGAGTTTTTGTACTAGATCAGGTGCATGCAGGTGTAATCCAGGCAAACCCACCCTGAGAGTGCACCTTTGTTGTGCTGGTCACACGTAGAAAACCACATCCATGCTGCTGCTCTAGTATAGTTTAGTGCTGCCATTTCAGGGCTCGTATTCCAGTATTCTTTGCATCAGATGGAGCCACTCCAGAAACTGATCTGTGGTGTGTTCTTGGTACCATGTTCCTTTCCTTCCTAAACCCCTGTGCAGAAGACGTTTTTCCCCCACCTTCTTACATTTACCAGTGGCACTTCCAGGTCATGTCACCTCTCACTTCTGTCTGGTCAAAACAGGGTCAAAGTCATGGATCCATTGGAGGAGCTGCTCCTGCGCCTTCTGTGGGTGAAACGTTTATGCAGTGGAATAGGTGCTCAGCGAGATGCTGGATTGCATTTCAGGAGCATTTTCTGAGATGTCAAAAACAGCAGGACTTGGGGAGATGAGAACAATTAATTCATGGCAGACTGGACAGACGTGAACAATGCTGCTATTGCCATGAAATCCCCTTGGTTTACCAACGCTTCTAGTGCAGGAGAAGTAGCACAGTATGGTGTGATCACATCATCTTGCAGACTTGGGGAAACCAGTAGTGGCTCCAAAACTTCTGCATGAGGAAATAGACCTTCATGGGGCCATGTGAGGAACTAGCACCAATCCTCCAGTGCCTGACCACTTGAATAGGAAAGTTTTAGCACGGTGGTTCTCAAACTGTGGGTCAGGATCCCAAAGTGAGTTGTGACCCCATTTTAATTGGATCACCAGGACTGGCATTAGACTTGTTGGGGCCTGGGCTCGAAGCCTGAGCCCCACCACCTGGGGCCGAAAAGTCCTGGGTTGGGGGGCTCAGGTTACAGACCACTCACCTGGGGCTTAAGCCCTTGGGCTTCTGCTTTGGCCCCCTGCCCTGAGCGGTGGGGCTTGGGCTTTGGCGTTGGCCCCCCCACTCGCGGTGTTGGGGCTCGGGCAGGCTCAGGCTTCAGTCCCCCCCTCCTGGGGTCACGTAGTAATTTTTATTGTCAGAAGAGGGTCGCGATGCAAGGAAGTTTGAGAACCCCAGCTTAGTGGTATGGACAGCTAGAGGTACATAGTAAACTGCTTTGGTGTTGGCAAGTCATCTGTTGGTGTTGTGAGAATGGAGGTTTGTGAAGCAATTAATGGTGGTGGAGATAAGAAATGTTCCTGAAATAATAGCTGGCTTTCAGAGGATGGGGGACCCAAACTACTCTGGGGCATCCAAATTCCACTAGGTCCATCAATGACACTCAGATGCCCGTAGTTTGCCCGACAAAAGGGGCTAGTGAGTATGTGAACCACAAAGAATACTATTCCATCATTCTTCAAGGCTTGGTTGACCACAGAGACAGGTTCTTAAGCACTATCACTGGAAGTACGGGAAAGGTTCACGATGCCAGGGGGCTGAGGAGATTTGGCTGGTACTTGAAGGGGGAAGCAGATACTTTATTCCCAACAAACAATATTGTTATGAAAGGTATATCTGTGCCAATAGTTATTATGGGGACCTCCACATACCCACTCATGCTATGGCTCATGAATAAGGCTGCAAGTCTGTCATGGAGGTCGCAGAAGTCATGGCTTCCGTGACTTTCCGGGACCTACACGACTTCTGCAGTGGCAGTGCGGCTGATCCCAGGGCTGCCTCAGGCAGCTTGCCCTGGGGGACAGCCGCGGGACCCCAGCAGGAGCAGCACCCTGGAGCCTGCTAGAGCAGCAGCAGCACCTCAGAGCCCTCTAGAGCACCTAAGATTTAGTCCCGGGTATTTTTAGTAAAAGTCATGGACAGGTCACAGGCCGTGAATTTTTGTGTATTGGTCGTGACCTCTCCATGACTTTTACTAAAAATACCCGTGATTAAAAGCTAGCCTTACTCATGAAACTGTATAGTGATGTCAGGGCCCTGGGAAAAGGGAATTCAATTTTGAGCTCAATGGCTGCAGGATGGTAGTAGAATCTGCCATTGGTAGACTCAAGGCTAGATGGCGCTGCCTTCAAACATGTCTGGATGCCAGTGTGCTCAATGCCATTTATATAATCGTGGCCTGCTGTACACTGCACAAGGCAAGGCAAAAGACAAGTATTTCCACCTGGAGTAGGCTCAGGACATTGAGTGTATGCAAGCCCAGTACAGGCAACCAGCTCCAGAGTGGTGCTGGGTCCAGACTGGCAAGGAAAATAAGAGTTGATAGATCCTGGCAGTGCTGGGAGAAAGAGGATGATGTCTGACTTGTGCTGCTACTGGGGGCACTTTGATAGCCTTTCATAAATCTGCTTTAACCTTAAATGAAGGTACATGCCAAAATTGGTATAGGCCACAAGTGGCTTTTTATTATTTTAGTTTTATCTGATTTGCACTTGCTGGGATTGTCACTGTTTTGTGCTTGTCACAGTTCACGCTGGTATGTAATCCATTTTAACAGTTTACCTGGAATGTGTTTACCGGTTGAGATGGGGTTGGGATGGGGACAGTTGAAGTAATTGCATGATTGTTCAGATTGTCACCATGTAAGTGCTTGCCCCAATTCACACACTATTGATCCTCTCTGGACAGGTTTCCTGAAATGTGTTTGTAATATGGGGTGGAGTTGGTACTGGGGACAGTTGCAGTCACTGATGATTGTTTGTTTGGATTTTACTTGTGACTTGCCCGAAGTGTAATAAAGAGATTACAAAATTTCTCATTTTTTCCCTTTGATAATATAGTAAATATTTGTAAAATTTCAAGTGTTCAAGTCCCAGACTTTCCTGTACTGCTGTTTTAAGTGCTTCATTCTTTTTCGGCACAAAGCAGCAGAATGGTCAATGCCATACTCCACTAGCTTTCTAGAAACATGAGTGTTTATGGGGCTGTCCTTGCTGCACCAGGTAAAACTGTGCTGCCAGCTGTACTCCTGCCAGATATTTATTAAAATTCTAGTGTCCTAGAAAGATAAAGGTACAGGGAATTGTGGGCATGGGAGTGGAGAACTAGTGAGATTTGAGACCTTGTTACCATGCCTTCACCACATCAATCTGCAAAGTTGGATGGTTACAGCTGACCCACCCGAGCACAAACCCACACCTTCAGACGAGCTAACTAGCTTGGGATCTACCCATCCTGAGATGCATGTTTCAGGTGTTTTGAGTGTGGACAAGGTTGAGGGCCGGGGGGGGAGGGTTGGACATATCCTTGCTCCTGGGCACATGTAAAGTCAGCAGTGTACACATACCCTAAATGGCCAAAACTCAACACACATTTGAATGATAGAAACAAAAGTTCTAACGTGCTACACCTTCCCCTGTTACAGAACATACTTTTTAAAAACTCTTATTAGCTCTATAAGGTCATCTAGGATCCTTGAAATTAAATAACAGTTTTATCTTTTGTTAGGTGTATCGAGACCTGGCATAAATGGTCCACAAGGATATCCAGGACTGAAAGGAAATAAGGGAGAGAAAGGACAGCCTGGCATGAATGCTGTGGGATCTCCAGGACTTCATGGGTTTCCAGGCAGACCTGGTTCTGTAGGATCACCAGGTCCTGCAGGACAGCCAGGTACAGCATAGAACTTGTGTAACTGTGTACATCAGGGGTCGGCAATCTATGGCACGTGTGCCAATGACGGCACATGAGCCGATTTTTAATGGCACACTGCTGCCTGCCGGGGTCCCGCTCAGCCCGCTGCTGAACCCCGGCAGCGGACTGAGCCGGATCCCGGCAGGCAGCAGCGTGCCATTAAAAATCCTGCTCGACCCAGCCCGCTCTTCTCCGCCCCCCACTTACTGCTCTCTCTGGTGGGGGCAGGGAGCAGAAGCAAGCGTGGTCCTGCCAGCTGCTGCTGTAGGGCAGGCTCCGCCAGCAGCCAAGCTTCCCCCTCCCCCGCCTCTTCCACCAGCGTGCTGCATCGAGCCCTGCCTCCTCTCCTCCCTCGCAAGGGCCATCGGTGGCAGGAGGAAGAGAAGAGCAGCCCCAGTGCCCTCGCTGCTCAGACCAGTAAGGAGGCGGAGAAGAGGCAGGGGGTGGTAGGAGCTGGGCGTATCCCTCCAGCCGCCTGCCGTGAGCTGCTCAGGGCAGGGGGCTGGGAGCACCCCCCTGATCGCAGCCCCCCCAGCCCTCTGCCTTGACCCCTGCACCCCCTTGCACCCCAGCCGCCTGCATCCCCCCCACAACCCCATCCCTGATTCCTGCACCCTCCACACATACCCGCCCCCCATGCCCTGACTCCTGCACCCCCTTACATGCCCCCAGCCCTCTGCCCTGACCCCTGCACCCTCCACACGTCCCCAGCCTCCCCACATTCCCCTGCCCTGACTCCTGCACTCCCCACACCCCCTGCCTCTGACTCCTGCACGTCTCCACACATACCCAGCCCCCCCCACCCCATGCCCTGACTCCTGCACTCCCCACACCCCCTGCCTCTGACTCCTGCACGTCTCCACACATACCCAGCCCCCCCCACCCCATGCCCTGACTCCTGCACTCCCCACACCCCC